ACCTTGAAGGCATTATTGTTGCCCATATACATAGTCTCTAGCTCACCAACTTAAAAATCCAGGGGTTCATGTGAAATGAGCACCCAGAATCCAGCATCCATTCCTCTTTGTTTTCTGACCTAGACACAGTCAGGACTTCAGATTCTTCAATGTAATTCTTACTAGAGGTAAAGTTACTCTCTGTGTTATTCTGTTTTTGTTTTTTGATCCACTCATAAATTTGTTTCCTCAAATATCCAGTTTTGTTATAGAAGAAACATTCTCGTCTCTCCTTTAGTCTTATGATTGTTCTTACCCTTCTTTTTATTCCTAGAACCAGTGTTAAAGTGAGAGTTACTCCCAGACTGCCTAGACTGTCCTTTTCCCTTTAGAAACAAACTATTGTTGTTTTTCTTTTGAACCCTAAGCTCTAGTTCTCTAGCCTTTAATCCTAATGCAATTAAGTCTAGGCTAGGGACAATTCCAGTGTATTGGAGGGCGTTCTTAACAACATGATACTCCTTGGTAAGGGAGTTTAGAAGGATCATGACTAAGCTTGACTTGTTGAGTTCTTGATCAGTGCCCTTGAGTACAAGGGTCATCTTTAAGAACTCATCTAAATTTTCTTCTATAGTCCTAGCACTCTCCATTTTGTAAGAAAACAATACACCTTTCAAATAAGCAAGATTAGAAGCAGATTGAATTGCATAAAGGGATTTGAGCTTACCCTAGAGAGCAATCAATGTCTCAACATCATCTACCTTTTGTAATATGTTGCTAGCAAGATTCATAACGATAAGGTTGTACGCTTCCTTATCAACTTCAACTTTCCTTTTTAGCTTCTCCTCGGGCCATTTGGTCTGGTCCTTCTCCAATGCGATTGCCACTTTATTATGTAAGAAAATCGCCTTCATCTTCTTCTTCCAAGCATTGAAATCGATTTTACCATTGTATAGTGCGATCTCAACTCGTGTGGTGCTCATTGCGTGAAGTAGGTAATAGGTTTTGGTGAACTCTGAAAGAAAGAACCTAAGAATTACGCTCGATTTCTGGTTTCTTCAAGAAATTAGAGACTCAATTTTGTGGATCTCCTAATCCTAGACTGCTTTGAATCTTTTAGTCAAGAAACCCCCAAAATTTACCAAACCCTAATTTCAAACAGTAAATCCTAAAATCGATAAACCCTAATTAGCTAGCTCTAATACCACTATTGTGTTTATCGCAAGATTCCCAAACCTAAGACACCCAATCTCACACAATTAATCAAGAATCAAATTGCAAAATCAAACAAGAAGACAAGAATTTTTATCGTGGTTCACTTACCCAAATTGGATAAGCTACATCCACATCGAGCTCCAGTAAACTTGGGGCTCACAGCACTAGATCAAGATTCGTTACAAATACAACCAGTTTGAACTCAATCAAATCACTCACTCCCTGTAACTCTCTCAAAAACTTACTTGTAACCTATCCTATATGAGAATACTAACCCAGATCCTCACAACCTGAAGGAAACACAACCCTCAAATAGGATTACAACAATCGCAGCAGATTACAAGTCTATGAGAAACAAGAAATCAGAAACCCTAACAAAGAAGAGCTCAATCACAAAAACAGAGAGTGTAAAGGCTGTGTAATTTGACTTAAGGGCATTCTTTTATACTTACACTGTTGGAGAACCTTGGTCGTCAGATTTAGCAAGCAATCAACAACCATGATCAATCTTGGAGCTTTATTATGAGACAACATTGTTTAAGTAATGATCAACGACACCATTTTGTGCTTCATCATTCAATAGAAACTAATAAGGTTTTTGGTTTGGTGGAATGCAAAAGGGAATGGGAATGGAATCCCATTTCCTTGTTTGGTCGGACAAAATCTGGATCAGATTTTTGATTTAGAGAATAAATCCAATGGTACCTACATTAATTATCTATGAATACTATATATATATCTATAATCATCTTTGGAGAGTATTAAAGCTGGTCTCCACAAGTCAAAGAAAACTAATTTCAATAGAGAAGATATCTTAGATCGTGAGAGAGGAAATGAAGATTGATGTATCTTACCACATTACATGTTGATCAACATGCAATATTGTGCACATAAAAGTACTTAAAAGAGTGAGGTAATTTCATAACAACATGCTATAGAATTTGATTATAAGGGTGCTCAAGCCTACGCCACAATAAGATAACTATTTAAGGAATATCGGTATAAGTTACAGTGGTCGAGTACACAAAATTCTTAACAAAAGCATATGCATATGTACACTTACTTGTGAACTACAACAAGAAGAAGCTTTTGAAGCCTTCTTACAGTAAGATGGAACGATAATACTAGTAATTGAAGATGAAACTTATCTTTTTTATCATTACTGGGAGAGAACATTCACTTGTGTGTGTTATATCTAGACATTCAACGTACAACTTTTCAGGACTAAAGTTGAGATTGTTGAGATCTAAGGTGAAATGACTTATGGTGCCAGAATCTAAGTACTATTGAGGATCAACAATTGAGATTGGTTAAGCAACGAAGGACATTGGATTTGTAGAAAAAAAGTCTAAAGAGACAAAAGAGGATAAAACAGTCTGTCACCAATTGTTTCATTAAAACTGAAATTCAGTACATCAATTGATCTGGAATCTGGATTAGTTGAAAACGTAAGAACAAAGGCTGATAATAAAATGCTATCGTGTCTTTACGTAAAACTAACATAATTATTTACTTTTGTTAACTCCAACCTTAACTTCTGTTATAAGTCTAACAGCTCCTTTAATAATTAGTTATTTCACTTAACAACTTCAATACTTCAATTTCTTCTTCTCTTTAATACTGAAATAAAAACCAGCTCTACAACTTAGCTACTATTTGAGGGGATTTTAAGAAGGAGAGAGTGGCTACTATTTTGGAGATTAGAATTTTGCAGTTTTCGTTAACCAATTAGAGAAGTTTTTCCATTTTCTTTCTTGAACTCATGTTATTGAATACAATGGTTGTTTCTAGTGTTACAAGTATGAACTAAATTTCTTTTCTAAGGCTAAAGATTTAGCCCAATTTATGAATATGTGTTGACGTTATTGTTGTTAATTTTAATTGAGAATTGTTTAAGTTTTATTATTGCACGCAATGCTTTCAATTCTTATGGATCCAAAAGTTGAATGATATCATGGGTTGGGTTGAGATCGAGAGATGAAACCTAATTAGTCTAAGGTAATAAAAGCACAAATTAAGCAAACGCTAGAGATAAGTTGCCGCGATCTATGAGGCTCCGGTAAATTCCATAGAACTTAATAATCATTTAACTTCTAAATCCAACTTAGAAATATTTTGGGTTGTTGCTTAAGAGTTAATTCGCTAATTGTTAAAGAGAAAGTTAGTGAAATACTAAGGAATTTGGTCTTTAGAATAAGCTTAATTAGGTTAGCAATAATTGTCAATGCATATGATTAAATTGGTGTGAAATCTGTGCCATATGTTTAGTCATATTGATCTTTTTACCAAAGTATTAATACAATTCTACTCCTGTTTTAGTTTTTATTTGTTTATTTTTTATTAAATCATTCTTAAAATTCTGTTTTATCAAATAGTACTAAGATTGATTAGTTTGGTACTTGGTAAGTGATAGTTCTTGCGTAATCTTGTGTAGCTCTTCTTTCTAGT